ATCAACCCCCAACGTTCTCGGAGCTCTACACGCTTTTAGTTTCTTGCCCCTTTTGTCCCTTTATTGTTAAAATACGGGGGGGGGGGGGGCAGAGATTGGAAGAGGTTCAAGATTGACGATGCTACTCGTAGAAGCCTTCCTATCAAAACGAGTAGCAGTAATGCCAGTAATGTTGTATCTACCTGTAAGAGTACACTCTAACCCTGCTGACTTGCACAGTGATTGAGTCGCGTTACAAAAGCAGTACAACTTTACTGGGTTTTACCTTGCCTTAAATTAAAACCCCAAACCTCTGAACCCCAAGCACTTAAATCCTAACCCTTCACGCTAAGCCCCTCAGCCGTAAGCCCTTGTAGGCCTGAACCCAATTTTTGGCTTTCCAACAATTAGGGGTACCGAACTGGGGGTCCCCATATGAATTTAGGATCTACATTGGGTTCCCCCTTTTTATGGAAACTCCCTAAATCATGCCTGAAGGTGAAAGATTCCGAGTACCAGGAAGCGGCATCCGATCACCGGATGAAAGTGGCGGCGGTGGAGAAGGCACCGGGTGGATAAAGAACTCTCGAAGGGGCTTGGCTTTGGGATGAGGAATTAGGATTTAGGGTTTAAAGTGCCGAAGTAACAGCCTCCCGAGACTAGCCTGGAAACAACCAAATCCCACTCCCGAGAAACCCTTGTGATTTTTCTGGGCTGATTGCAGGGCTAGCTGCGAATGCAAGTTGACTTCTCGTACCACGTCGCATGCACCAGCTAAGCTAGGGAGGTCTTTAAGTACATAAATCAACATCTGCTGGCATGAGCCCGAAGGAAAAAATAAAACAGCAGAATCATGGCAGGGTTCAATGGCAGGTCGAGCAATTCAGCAGTAAACCCCAAGCCCTAAATCCTAAACCCTATAAACCCTAAATCCTAAAACCCTAAACCAAATCTGCTGCCTAGCACGGCACTCAGGGCAGTGACGCCATGAGTGGTGCAGGCAGGTGGGCGAAGTTACCCTGAACCACCATGAGGACACGTTTTAGGGTTTAGGGTTTAGGGTTTTCCTGAATCCTGGTTAATTGTAGGCGAATGTGCCCCCAAACCTTTAGTTCCTTCCTATCAGCCCCTACATTATTGTAGGTTGGCTCTGCTGTACAGTCACAAGCTCACGGTTTGGTGTCCTTACTGCTACAAACTCGAACTCTATGACTGGTCTATCACAAATCTCCGCCTGGAGTCCCCATTGAACAAATCTTCAATCACAAAGCAGCCTGAGCCGCTCCAGAAAAGCCTTCGTAGATGCAATCCTAAGTCTTTCAAGCACTGAATTCCAAACCCTAGATCCCAATCCTGAGCCCCAAAACCTGAAAACCCTGTGCCATTGCATAAACCAGACAAAAGAACCCAACACTTAACCTGAAGCCCAAAATCCTCAACCTCGACTATAAACCTGGAAAGCAAATCCTGAACTCAACTCAATATATATATATTAGGAGATTTTATAAGACACTATAATACACTATACTACTCTATAATATACTAGAATACTCTATGACACACCTTTTTTAGTGCACTCAATTCTGCTACAGTATACTATAACATATTGGTAATATGCAAGCCCTAAACCCCCTAAACCCTAAAACTCTAAAACCCTAAACCCTAAACCCTAAACTGTGTGCTGTGCTGGGTCACCTTACCCGCTGCCTAGGCAAATGCCTCAGCCGCGTCTGCTGCCGAGGCAGAGATCGCTCGCAGAGAGATCAGGGGTTATAGTCCCCCTTAAGTAGATAGAATATGGCTTTGGGTATATTGTAATAAGATCCCCAATACCCCATATTCTATCTACTTAAGGGGGTTAAGGATTTAGGTTTTAGGATTCAGGGTTTTAGGTTCTAGGGCTTTAGGATTAAGGATTTTGGGTTTTAGGCTTTAGGGCTTTGGACTTTAGGGTTTAGGGCTTTAGGGTTTTAGGGTTTAGGGTTTAGGGTTTTAGGGCTTTAGGGTTTAGGGTTTGCGGTGTTAGGGTTTATGGCTTTAGGGTTTAGGTTTTAGGGTTTAGGGCTTTAGGAATTACGGCTTTAGGGTTTCGGGTTAAGGGCCCATTTTTTGGAACTATGGGTTGAGGGTTTAGCTTACGTCGTTGTTGCTTGAGGTCCTGAAAGCATCTGGGCAGTTCAATGCAGGGTTCCCAAGGGGTGTGTACATAAGACTTACTTACATATACATATATATATATATGTGTATAAAGAGGTGTATACGGGGAAAGCGGATTTTTAGGGTCTAGAGCCGTGGTTTCTCAACATGTTTGGCAGATTCCAACATATTTTCCTGGTTGCTCCTAGAACCGCGGGACGCATTTTACAGGGAATCCAAAAAGGGACCGTAATTTGACCTTTAGAAGTTCCGGTCCAAGCGATCCTGCTTCTTTGCAGACAGCCTTGTGGAGAAATTGTCTCTGAGGTTGTTGACGAGCTGAAGAACTTGGAGCAAGTGTTGATCCACACTTATCCGAGCTTGATTCCGACTGACTTGGAACTATGCCCTTATGGTGGGATGCTAGACAGTCTACTTGGCATAGCCCAGATGGCCAGTCAAGTCACCAACTTTAAGATGATTTTTCTGATGCAATACTATCGCAAGTCTTAGGAATCAGGGATTTCATATCGAGATCGGCTTGCCAGTTTCACAAATGGATATGGCATACCGACAGGAAAGAGTGGCATTGCCACTCTTCTGTAGCGTGCAGCCGGTTTAGACAATCTCCTTGAACCCAAAACCCAAAACTCCACACCCAAAACTCTAGATTCTAAACCCTAAACCCCTGAACCCTAAACCCTACATCCTGAGCTCCATGCGAAGGCCCTGAAGAGCTTCGAGGCCCAACATCTCCCGAAGGCGGCAGAGGCGTGGATGTAGGGATCCTTTGGGGGTTGAGGTTGGGTACTGCCCCCCCTCAGTAGCATAGCCCTCAAATAGTAGTTTCCGTGATGTGTTCCGGTATCGCTATATAAGCTCTATATACCCCTGTATAGCCCTTATCCTAAACGCTGAAGCCTAAACCGATATAGTTTACAGGGGCAGTTCGTAGGAATATGTAGAGGTTGAAGCGCGCCGTGCCTTTGAGCTTCTCCAGAAGTATGGATTGATTTCTCGAGCCACTAGGGAATACATGGGGTTTAGGGTTTTGGGGTTGAGGGATCCAAGGGTTTAGGGTTAAGGGTTGAAGGTGTGAGGATCTTTTCGATGGCTACTGCACGAGCTTCACAAGATGATGAGCCTCTTTGGGGGACCATGCGCTACCAGGTTTCTTACAGGCATCGGTTTTCTGGAGATTATTTGACGGGTTTTCGGAATGTCTATGTATTTCCTGCAGTCATATGAGCTGACTCCTCAAAGGGGTTATATAGGGGATCATATATGGAACTAGTGCATAGGGCTCATCAAGGGGGATACTAGGAGTTTAGACTATAGCTAATATGCAGATGAGTCTACATGGCGGTTACCATAAGTAGAGGGACCCTTTACACGCTGCACCTTACTCTAGCTACCCCACAAGAGCAATCCAGTACAATGGCTGTGAATTGGGGCCCACGCTGAATTTGATGTCTTTTGATTTTATGAGCATCTCACATACTCTCCGTGTCAGTTCCTATGCTTCGTGAAGCTGATTGGGCTTATGTACCTTCAGTAATCCGAAGATGCAGCTAAATGTGGGGGGATGTTTTTAAGTGTCTGGGAAGAAAACAGAGCTTCTGTGAGCTCCCCAGCGTTGTGTTTGTGTGTTTGTCGGTGCTATTGTTTTCTTTGTTTGCAAGCTCGGACTGTTACTGTAGAGTTCGGGAAAGCAACAGCCTCCACAAAAGTAAAGGTGCCCCCAGCTCTACGAAGTAAGTAGAGAAAAGCATAATTGGCATGGGGGATTCCAATGCTCTCTGGAATGAAGGCCCCTGCTCTGAAAACCACGCGCTAAAGGTAACCTATTAGGGTTTCCAAAATTAGGGGTACCCGTTTGGGTCCCTATAGTCTGGACTGCAGTACTCAACCCTAACCCCTCCGCTTGCTAAAGCCACGAGTTTGTTCGGCCAGGTGCCGGCTGAGGAGAAAAAGAGGCCCAACGGCGCGTGTGACGGGTTCATGGTTTTAAGCAGGTTTAGGGTTTGGGGCTTGAAGATTTGATGGAGGCTTGAACTTTGATGCAAGTTTAGGCTTTAAGGCTTGGGTTTAGGGTTTATAGTCCCCCTTAAGTAGATAGAATATGCCTTTGGGTATATTGTCCTAAGATCCCCATATACCCCATAGTTTGTCTACCTAAGGGGGACTATGAACTCTAAACCCTAAGCCCTAAACCCTGTCTTTTATCTACTTAAGGTGGCCTATAGGGTGGGCCCACAGTTGCAAGACTAGGGTTTTGATGCTCTTCGGGCCGGGGACTTTGGCGACGAAGGAGCACAGAAAGCAACTTAAGGACTAGCTTCAGTAGGATTCGTAGTATTACCAGGACCCCAAAAGTATGTAGAATAACAGCCTTTTGGGCTGTTTTTAATGGTTTTGGGCTATTATTTTACCTACTTTTGGGGTCCAGGTATTCTTATCAGTATTAGTAAGTTTAGTGGTATTCGTAGTTTGTTTTTCTACTATGATTATGTAAGCGGATAAGCAATATCATGGGTGTTTCCCGAAATTACGCGTACCTGTTTTAGGGGGTTCCATAGTAAGGATTATAGTATTTTTGGNNNNGGGGCCCCCTATTCAGGGAAACTACTTAATCAGCCCTGTCACCCACACAACTAACCTGTTTGCGAAGTCCCCATGACATCCGAAGATCTGAAGCCGCGCCAGGAAAAAGGAGGAGGTGGATGAGAAGGCAAAGGAGGAAGCCAAGTCTGAAAAGAAGGTTCGCGGTTTACATTACAGGGATGGTATAGAAGTTAAATAGGGGTAGATAAGGTTATATAGGGTTTCATGGGTGTATGTAGGCTTTAGGGATTAGAGTTTAGGGCTTGCGGTTGTTCTTAAGTTCCTTGCCACGGACCGACCGTTGGCAACACATATCCTTAAAGCAACGAAACTTATTACCTTCTGGCAATTTTGGACCGGTAGTTTCAGCAACTTCCCTTTAAGGCTTGTATGACGCTCCGTAGGGATAATTTAGGTTTAGGGATGTTCCACCAAAAACAGAGAAGCAAATTGAAAAGAACATATAGTGGCTTACCGCATTTGAGGGCGACTGAGAAAACCAGTACAGTATTCAGGGCTTCGGTCTTGGGATTTGAGGTTCAGGGTTTCGAGGTGTCAGACAAAGCATCGAGACCTGCAATCTAAACAACGGCCAGCCATTGCAAGGAAAGTTAGTGCATTCTGGCATCATGAAAAAATACTTAAACCCTATAACGACTAATTAAACCCGATAACCCTATAATCCTAAACCCTAA